TTGAGGATTAGCTCCGTTCTTAAAAGCCCTTAGTGGGCACCCTTACCCAAGGAGACGGAAATCCGTGAGGTAGGGGAGGTGTGACATTTTTAGGGTCGACCTTTTCTAACCCTTCCTTCCTTGTGAGAAGGCAGCATCGCTTCAGATGCTGGTTGTCCGAGGGAAACACCTTACTGCTGTCACACCCCTCTGCAGTCAGCAGTACGACTTCGCCCTCAGACCTTGAGTAGCTGCTTTTAGTCTCATCGTTCTCCAATCGACCTGCCTGGCATGGTAGGACCTGCAGGAACATGTGTTCCAGCCAGTATAGCTCGGTTGGGTCATCACGATAGGCAAGCCCGACCACCACGTCAAGGTAGCAGCTTCGGTCGGGATAATCGAATACTAATAACCTACGAACATCCTCTACTTTTATCGGCCATATTTCGCAACCATATAATAGGACAGAACGAACTACTGCGCAGTACACTCTTCTCTTGGTTAGCAAAAGGATATCTCGTCTACACCATTAGTGACACAAGTTGGCAAAAGCCAATCGAGCTTTCTGTATCCGTGCTAGGATTTCTTCAGTCATCAGGCCATTAGCGCTGATGAGACTCCCAAAATAAGTAGAGACCAACACGCTCGACTACTTCACTCCCTATCACTAGTTCAGGTGTCGACGGTAGCCAATCCTGAAGCAACATTTTGCATTTCGAAGGGGGGTGGGGAAACCGCATTCCGAACATGCTTGCATTGTTGTTTAAGGTGGTCAGAAGACTATATATATACATATGTATAGATTTATCCATGCAATATCATTTCTTCAACTGAGATTGTGTAAAATATTATATACATGTTTTATTTACTATCCTATTAGGTCAAGTGATTCTATTGGGTACAAACGATGGTATATATTGTCTACAATTGAAAGGACTTTCTGAAAATTCTTTAGAATTGGTAAGCAAAAGAAAAATGAATTGATATAGTGCAGTTTAATTTTTATCTTTCATGTTTACATAAAATTAGGGAAAAAATTCTTTTTCATTGATTCTGTGATATCAGTAAATTATATGATTTACCAGAATGAAAAGAGAAAGTATTCTCCTGTAAAAAATAATTTTGAAACTTTGATAATGTATACATCTTCATGGTTTATAGTCGGGACTAATGTAATTGAACGGAAACAGGAGATACTAGCGAATTGTTTCATTCTGCTATGGTTATGATAAGCAAGATATACCTTGATATCAGCAAACCTAATGTAATGTATAACCAGTCATACAATAAGTTGCTTCGTTGAACCTCAAATCAGCTAACTAGAGAAACAGGTCCAGAACCAGCACAAAGAAAATATAATCCACAGGCAGTCGGAAACGAACGAACAAACACCATGTACTCAATTCATGAGTAATGTATGCAATATAAAGACGTCCTTGGAGTTGGAAAGCAGCGTACTGAAGGAGAAAACGAACCAATGACATTTAAGGTCGTTTTGGGTGGGAGATACAGACTGAGGGCAATGAGGAGGGGATCTAGCATCTAGCACCGTCAATTGATATGCTTGAAACGATTACGAGTTCACCTTAGTCGGTGGTAAACGAGAGCAAAGACACGATAGGCTACTCTGCTTTGAGCGTCACAAGGCTCCACTAAGTTGATGAAGAAGTCTTGATAAGACTTAGAAAGTGTATTCTACAAGCACCCAAAAATATGAAGTTTCCAAGCACACAGATCGAGTTAATGTATTCAATGATAGAAACGTCCTTGGAAGAGCCACAAAACTAGCGTACTAAAATAATATACATCAATCAACAATAATAGTCAGGGATTTTTCGAGTAGGAAATGTAATCTCAAGGCCGACTGTGATCAGATCATGTGTGAAAGCATAAAATCTAAAATAAGAACCTTAATCAAGTGAATTTTAGGGATCCAGTGTCCCCAACAATAATTCTCATATCCACAAGGATTCTACCAAGAGTTCAACTCATGAATTTCATGCTTTCTCTTAAGTGCATTTTTTCTGGGATTATCCTTTTATGCAGAAGAAAATAATTCTCTAGATTATTGATGTAGATGTTAAACGTAGTATAAGATTTCGGATTTTGTACAATCGGTAGGCTGTAAGTTGGAATGTTTTAGACAGCTTTTGATGTATACATAGTTCAACGAAAATCTAGACAAAAACTTTGATCGATAACTTCATAACTGGATCACATGTCCGCTTATGAAGTGTATTCAACCCGTTATTATATTAACTAATTAACAACTGAACTGAACCATACTAATAGATGTAGACTAACTAACTGGTCAGGGTCGAACAGACAATCTTGAACGACTGTTGGAGACTTTGAATGACATGGCTGAAAATTGTTTTGCAATTGTACAGACTCATCCACCCTTTGGCTTCTTTCTTTTTAAAATCTACTTCACTAGATTATACTTCTTGAATCATATCTTCGAAGCATAATCTTTTCCATAACTTCTACTACCTCGGCTTCTATGGGATTTGAACTGATAATTTGATCTGTCTGAGCTAATATTGTGGTATGGCAAGGTGAACAGATGCACGTATGTATGTATCATGGGGACAAGGATCAGGAAAGCTGCTCCCGAAATGGGAAGGACCGTACATCGTTATTGAGTGCGAATCGCAAACGGTAATCAAGTAAACGGGACCATGGCAATCGGAAAGACTGCGAAAACAACTTTATAAAAGTGGGGGACGAGTGTGGTGTACGCTACTTATATTCACATAAGTAGTATATGATATCAAACGGAAATCAAACGTCTGACAGCAAAAGATCGAAAAGGAAAGAATGAGAACAGAAGGCGATTTTTAGGTAAAGTAAAGTGAACTGAAGTCTGACCAGTCTAAATGAAAGAACACTGAAATCTGAAACAAATAAGGATTCGTTTGCAAATGATGATTCACGGGAAGGTTTTGTACATATGCTTAACAACTTTGTAATATTCACTTAAATATATATGTTGATGTCCTCATCTAAGTTCTCGAGCACAACAACTACTGATGGACTGATACTTATTAACATCACGTGGGATTTCAGATATTGAGGTAACTATCTCTTTTTTAAAACATCAACTTATTTCATAACTCTTTTGTTTACAATGAAATAGTTCAGTAATCTTTATTGTTTTTTGTTGTTTTTCCCTTTATTCAAGCTATTTCCACGTCGTTGTTTATGGTTATCTGTTACACGAGATACTATGATGTCATTATCTGGTCGTCATCCACAATTATATGCACATAATTTAGTTTCATTGATGAAATTAAAATCACAAGGTCATTCAATGCTTGGCAGTGTTGGTGGTGGGGGTGGCGGTGGTGGGGCTGCATCGAAATTTGGGAAATTTGTTAAACTTTTTCCTAAGTAAGTATGTTTTATGGAATTTCATGCCATCTAGATTCTTTTTTTTTTGGGGGGGGGGGGGGTTAAAAAAGCAATTGATGGAAACAGTATGATATCTATCTATCTGTGATAAGTAATGATGAAATGCTGAAAGCAAGTGTTCCGTCCCATTTCGGGACTCGTTAGTTGGGATTGCCCTGAATCTCAGAGTTAGTGTTGATGTTCATATCCGAACGAGTTATAGTAACTGTTAGGATATTCATCCAATATCCTAAGAGAATTATTTTTGTAAGTCTAATTCTATTGGTCAATTCCTATTGGTCTTCGTAACTGTCAATGTCACAGACTTTAATGTTGTTTCCTATTCGACCCAACTGTATAAATACGCATTATCTGTAACGTTTTATGACCCGGACCCTTAGTCCGAAATCCGTATCCTCTTCTGGACTCGGACTTCATAGTTTCTGGATGTTTGTAGAATACATGTTCTACTTCAGATCAAGTCTTCTTCTTTTATTCAAGGGGGGTTCGAGACGCTCGGATTAGAGTAGCCTATCGTGTCGCCGGATCCTCGCTCTCGTTTTCCGATTAAGGTTAACTTGTAATAGTTCAAGCATATCAAATTACCTGTTTACGTACATGCGTAACAGTAACTATTTATGCTTCTGTTCTTTTGGTTTTAAACACTGACGCATAACTCAGACACATTGAGTTAAATAAATAGTGAAATTTTTTACAAATTGCGCACTCTCTCTCTCTTTCTTAGTAAGAAGTTTGTATCTGGTTACAAGTTCTAATCAAACCGAAATCCCCGAAATGCAAATACATCCAGTCAAAGAATCCTATATTAGATTAGTAGTTCGCAACTCGCATTCTACATTTCGATATTAGTCACAATTTATCCAGTCTAAACAATTCTTGTTCTTTTTTGCATGTATTGCTTGGATTAATCGACGTTAGACATGAACACCGGTGAATACCAGCTCAGCGGTTCATAAGTTGAACGTTTTCAGGCTAAACAGAGAAGGCCGTTCATTCGAATCTTGCAAGTAGTGGATGCGCTCTGTCATTGATGAGTCCCATACTAGGACGAAACAGCCGCTCCGGTGCTTTCAGCTTTCTAATACTAGTTTGACATTGATCAATCAATTCATGATTTCAAAATCTATTGAAAGGCTATCACTTTTTTTTAATCTTAAACCTATAGACGACAATGATCTGATCGATACATTTGGAGAGAGACTATATATATATATATATATATATATATATATATATATCAGTATTTGTATAGATAACCGCCTGTTAAAATATTTATGAACTTAGTTTTAGCTGAGATGATGATAAAGTCACATGTTATATTAATAAAAAATATAAATAAAAGCAACATAAACCAAGCTTTTGTTTTTGGTAACAGATAAATATCATTGATCTATAAATAATCTCACTTGATAGGTTTTTTAACGCGCGCCTATTCACAAAATGCTTTTTCATCCTGCTGAATTTACTGCTTTCATATGAAAAATAGTGTGTATATTTTGTTGTTGTTGGTTGGTTGGTTGGTTGGTTGGTTGATTGTTATGTCTGGCTTTTGATTTCATAATCGAATAGACAGTATAGAGAATATTTCGTTGAACTAATCAATCAATCGGTCATTGTTAGACGATTATTTAAAATGTAGAAGTACTAGAGAGATGGCCGTTTTATCGTTAGTATGGAACTTATTGACAGTCCACATCCAGGAATTTGTATACACTGGAATGAAATACAGTACCTTCGGTGTTGTGCACAAACGCTTAAACTCTTCTAGATGACTGAGTTGACAGTGTTAATGCATAATTTCCGACCTCAAAATTCAGAATGCTGCTTCAAGATTGGCTTGCATCAACACTTGAACTGGTGATAGGGAGTGAGGTAGTTGAGCGTGTTGACCGCCTCACTTATCTCGGGGATCTCATCAGTGTTAGTGGCCTGGTGACTGACGAAATCTCAGCACGGATACAGAAGGCTCGGTTGGCTTTTGCCAACTTGCATCATTTTTTGGCGTAGACAAGATATCCGTTTGCTAACTAAAGGGCAAGTGTACTGCTCAGTAGTTCGCTCCGTTCTACCATATGGATACCAAACATGGACAGTAAGAGTTGAGGATATTTGTAGGTTATTTGTATTCGATTATAGATGTCTTCGGAGCATTGCTCGTGTATCCTTGGACAACTGAATAAACAATGCTGTTGTTAGGAAACGATTATTCGGTGGGAATAGCAAAACCTACACATTTTAATAGTTGAATGTTTTAATGTTATCAATCGGTTTTTTCATGATTTTTTCCGAAATTAGTGTGTGTGTGTGTGTGTTGGAATATTCATCCATTATCCTAAGAGAATTATTGGTCAATTCCTATTGGTCGATTTCTTTTTGTCAAAATTGTGGTCGTTTTAACTGTCAAAGTCAAATACTTCAATGTTGTCTCTTATTGGTCATCCGGACTATCAATGTCACTTCAAATATTACTTCCTATTGGTCGTCTTAACTGTCAGTGCCACAGAATTCGATGCTGTTTCCTATTCGAACAAAATGTATAAATACGCATTATCTGTAACATTTTATGACCACAACCAGGGCTCGGTCCCGGATCACTAGTCCGGAATCCTGATTCTCTTCTGGATTCGGACCTCGTACTCTCTGGATGCTTTTAGAATACAGGTTCTACTTCATATCAAGTCTTGTCTTATTTTTACTCAATATGGGGGTTGGGATAATCGGATTTGAGTAGTATGTCGTGTCGCCGGATCCTCGATCCTCGCTCTCGATTTCCGACTAGGTAAACTCGTTATAGTTCAAGTGTATCATGTTGACGTGTGTACGTGCAGGCGTAACAGTGTGTGTGTGTGTGTGTGTGTGTGTAGTTTTACTATTTCAAACATCTATTATTTCATCATATTTTATTTTTCTCTGCTGATTTCTTTAATTAATTATAGACGATTTTCACCATCGAAAAAAATGCCCGATACAAAAGGTTGTCTCTGTGCCAATGTAACACGTAATCCATTCAATGGTGCTAAATATTTATGCGCGGCTATGACAAATGAAATTTTAATTATGGAATGGTTTAATCCTGTCTCATCATTTATTGAAATTAAAAGAGTAGGTTAATGAATGGTATTTTGTTTTTGTTTGTTTTTTTTGTGGATTCTATGTGTTTTCGCGCACCACCGTTGACCTTGAGATTGCATTTCCCACCTGGAAAGTCCTTGACTGTTATTGTGGCTTCCCCAAGGACGTTGCTATCATGTATAAATAAAATTCGATTTGTGTACTTGTTAACCTCATATTTTCTGGATGCTTGTAGAATACACTTTCTAAGTCTTGTCAAGACTTATTCCTCCACTTAGTGGAGCCTTGTGACGCTCAAATTAGAGTAGCCTATCATGTCAGTGGATCATTTGTTTTCGCTCTCGTTTACCACCGACTAAGGGGTGAACTCTTAATATCATTTAAGCATATCAATTGACAAGCATAACACTTTTATAAATTCAAGTTAGTTCATTCACTGGACATTATCACTTCAAAACACAGGACTTGTTTGTTTTAATGTTCAACGCTACTGGAGACAATGCACAAACATTTATGAATGTGGATTTCATTCTGACTTGATGTACCTGCAATTATCATCAGCATAACTGACACTTCACAGTTTGAAATTCAAATAATGTAGTAGTACTGCAGTTGAAAGCTTATTTTCACTAACCAATCATTAATATATAGATTTGAGATGTTTGCATCTATCAATCATACGATACTAACCAGCTTTAAACTTTCCATGTTTTCGCGCCAGAGATGCTTAGTCGACCTTCAGGGCTGTCATTGGTTGATGGGGATTAGTTTAGTACGCTATTTTGTGGCTTCACTAAGGGCGTTGCTATCATTGTATAAATAAGCTTGATTTGTATGCTTAGTAAGCTCGTATTTTCTGGTTGCCTGTAGAATACATTCTCTCTACGCCTTATCAAGACTTCTTGATCTAGTTAGCCGGGACTGAGACAAACGGATTAGAATAGCCTATTGTGTCACTCATGTATTTCTAGTGCTTTATGCTTTACGATTGGTCATGTTGCGAAATTCACGATTTCAACGTAAAACAACAACATCCATAACTCTATAATGAAAAAATTATCTAATGTGCTCACTAATGACTAACTTTGTGAAGAAATTCTCTCAGTTCTAGTGAGAAGTCGTAACCCGTGGTGGTGTTCAACCCTGTCTAGTGTAGGCAGTAACTACCAAAGACAAATATAGTTAACGTTACACAATATCAGGGATTGAATAAAGTTAGACATTGATTAAGCATTCGTTCGCGAGACTCAAAGTCCTTGGTTCGAATCCTGCTAGTAGCAAGAGTCATGGATGCGCATGGCCGTCCAGTGCTTCCAGGTTTCTAATGGAATTCAATCTGTCAAGTCTTCACAACTTTCCTATACAGAATAAAAGAGAGAATCTTTTTTTTCTAAATTGAATCAAATAAACATAATATTTAGTGTGTTTATTATTGATTTGTATTTTTTTTCTCCCCTAAAAATTCCCTTTCTGTATATATATAACACAGATATTTGTTCCGGATATGCCTTCACCTTTGTTAAATTTTGATTTATTAATTGTGAAAAATCTTCCTCTACCATTGGTTTGCCTTGGTGTCTATCGACATCATTCTCGTAAAGGTCGAGAAGGTCAACGTTTTCGTTTACATTTGATTGATTTAAATAGTTCCGGACCTAATCCACCACAGATGCCTCCAGTCACTTCATCTATTCCTCTTCCTATTTCAATGTCTTCTATGATGACTGCAGTGACATCATCTACTACTACTACTACTGTCAATACTACTACTACTATTACTACTACTATTAGTAGTAGTACTGCCGCTGTTACTTCTACTAGCCTATCTCCAAATCATTCCGATTTACCAGTAGGTTCATCTATATCCTCTACTCATTCGAAAAATATTCGTGAATTGAATAATTCCATTGAATTGTCAAATAGTGATCATCATAAACTGACCAATACTAATAAAACACATTTAATTCCGAAATCCGATCAAACAAAAGCTGAATTACAACGAAAGAATACACTATTTTTACGTGAGTTTGTTGTTGAGATATATGTCATCATTCTTAATGAATATTGTTTTAGTTATATATAAACTGTCATTTCATTTATCAAGTAGAGGCTTTTGAACTAGGTTCTGTGCCCCTACTAGTTGTGATACTATAAGTCAGTCAGTTACAAGGTAGAACTTTGTGCGTACGTACATACATCAGTTCAGGCTGCCATATCGCATTAGCACGGTGACGCAACTGTCAGTTCAAATCACATAGTGGTGGAGATAGTAGAAGTATTAGCAGTAATGGAGAAGATTAGGGTTCGCAGATATGATTCGAGAAGTGTAATTCAGTGAGATAAATTTAGAAAGCGGAAGATAGAGGTGATGAAGAATTCAGAAGGTTAAAATTTCAGAGTACAAAGAATGAATGCACCTGCGCCATCGCAAACGATTTTGAGCCATGTTCCTCAAGGTCTCCAACCACCGAAAATTAGTTTCGCGGCCACCAACCAGATAGCCTGAATCTACCAACATGACTCAGTCCACTTGTCAGTGATTTCATGGATATGCGCCATGTTTTGGTTTGGCTGCCTCTAACTTTCTTCCAACCTACTCCTACACCACAAAACATCGCTCGTCGAAGCAGTCGGTGGTTGGGCATTCGTAACACATGTCCCAATGATCTCAAGTAATGAAGTTTCACTAATTCATCAATTGATCTGTCATCTTTACCTAGTACTTGATTCCTAACTATAGCATTGCTTACTCAGTACGAGCAATGCGTCTAAGACATCTATGATCGAATACAAAAGCAATCTACTAATGTCCTCTATTCTCAACGGCCATGTTTCGCTTCTCTCGTTGTAATACTATGTAATACAACTTACATTTAAGTTGGGTGAAGAAAGATTTCAAAGTTGTAATCGAGTGTTGAATGTCGAATGTGTTTAACTGTTAAACCACCATTATGGCAGATAAATTAAGTGGTAGTTTTTTTCTTATTTCAAATGACTTGATTTAATTCCATTATGAAGTTGTGGAGATTGTTAAGTTACTCATTGAAATCATGAATCAATTAATGTTAGACCACAAGCATTAGAAACCTGGAAGCACTGAATGACGGCCGTTTCATCCCAGTGTTTGGCACTGACTCATCAGCAGTGCGCACCCACGACTCCTGCACCTTGTAGGATTCGAACCCAGAACATTCGGTGTTGAGCAAGAACGCCTAACTTCTGAACCACTGAGCCGGTATCTAACGGTGTTAATGTTTAACTTCGATCAATTCACGGTCTTACGCAACCTCATACATTGTCTTTGGTAATTACTGTCTACACCCGAACAGTTTGAAGTTAGACATGAACAGTATTAGATACCGGCTCAGTGATCCAAAGGTTAGGCGTTCTTGCTCAAGACTGAATGTTCTTGGTTCGGATCCTGCTAGGTGCCAGGAGTCGTGGGTGCACACTGCTGATAACTACCATACACCAGAAAAGAAACGGCAGTCTAATGCTTCCAGGTTTCTATTGGTGGTATAACATGATTTCAGTGAGTGACTTAATTTAATTCAACAAACCCAACTATTGATCACCGTAATTGTTCAGAACCCTAAAACTTGATAGTCGTTACCTTCGAACAGACAGTGATTTTATTCACTTATTTCACATCATGGTTTGACTTGTTCTGCATTTTTCAAACCTACCAATATTCCAGTCAACATTAGATAGCACTGGTTGTTGGATTAATGTTATTACTCATGTTTCAGCCACTTCAATCGATGCGAATTTTCACTCTAATCAACCAATTTAATAATTCCAATTAGAATTCTACATTCCTACATGTTGTTGCTTACTTAGTTATTTCACTTTACCCCCTAGCAATGGTAAAATAGCATATTTCAAAATCATAAACGAGTTGTTTGCTTGTAGTTGAGATACAAGTGTTTTGACTACTCCACAAAAGGATACCTTTTTGGCTATAATCAAATAAGCTTGATTCGATTTCATCAAACATAAATCTACCAAGATTATCAGATAACTGACATTGTAGTCCGGTCAAACTACTTCACATTCTATCTCCTTAATTACAGATATTAATGTAACTTGGTCTTAATAAACATACAATTTATGTGTTCAATCATTCTCTGTTAGATTCAACTCACACACAGTTAATTCATTTTCATGATTTAATTTTTTCTTCTATATTAAAAATAGCTGAAGATATTCTACCAGTCGTTGAAACTGTACAATTAGAGCATAATACCATATTAATATGCTTTCTAGGTAAGTATTATCTATTTTATTGGTCAATAAACTAATTTTAATAATGAACTGTGGAGAATTTTCAATTCGGATTATGCAGATTAGTGTTCTTTGTTTTTGCATATTAAAATCATCAATCACATCATTAGAAATCTGAAAGCTCTGGATGGCCGTTTCGTCCTGGTTTGGGATTCATCAGTGGTAGTGTGCACATCCACGACTCCTGCAGTTCACAGGATTCGAACCTAGGACCTTCGGTCTTGCGCGCGAACGCCTAACCTCTGGACGCATAAACAGGACGAAACGGTCGTCTTTCAGTGCTTGCAGGCTTCTAATAGTCAGTCAGTCAGTTGCAACGTAGAACTTCGTACGTATGTACATAAGTTCAGGTTGCCATACCACATGAGCGCAGAGACGCAAATGTTAAATCAAATCCCATAGTGATAGAGATAGTAGAGGTATTAATGGTAATGAAGAAGACTATGGTTTGAAGATATTATTCAAGAAGTATAATTCAGTGAGATAAGGTTAGAAAGACAAAGGTAGAGGTGCTGACGATTCCAGAAGATCAGGATTTGAGAGAGCTCAACGAATGGATGCTTCTAATAGTGTGGTCTAACAATGATTGATTGATTGATTGATGATTTGAATGTGCAAAGAACTTTTACTAGTCAGAACATATGTTCATGTCTATCAATGTTATTCTATTTGTTTTACAATTCATATCATATGTAAAAAACAGAAATTTTATGATCAATCGTTTCGTTCTACTTCTACTGATTTATCAGTAGTATTCTTCAGTACTGATAATTTATACGTTTTACAAGTTCAGTAAATTACTTACTGTCTTACTAAACTCTTTCGTAAATATAATTCTCAATAGTGTACTATAAGTTACCGTGTAATAGTTGATAATAGGTTAGTTAATAGTGTTAAAAATTTTCGTTCATGTAGACAGTTGGGTTAATTAGTCAGTCAGTCAATAGCAACGTAGAACTTCTTCCATACGTACATCAATTTAAGTTGCCATACCACATTAGCACAGAAATGCAATTGTCACTTCAAATCCCATAGTTATTAGAGGTCGTAGAAGTATTAGCAGTAATTAAAAAGATTATGGTTCGAAAATATAATTGAAGTAGAATCTAGTAAAATACACTGATAAAGGAAAAAGATAAAGGTGATGAGGAACTCGGAAGGTTAGAATTCGCCCAAAACACAATGAATGAATGCACCTGCGCCATTACAAACGGTTTTAAGCCATGTCATTCAAGGTCTCTAACCATCGGTGACTTTCGTCTCGCTGTCGACACTTACTAACATGACTCAGTCCACTTGTCAGTGACTTCATGCGTTTCTGCCATGTTTCGGTCTAGCCTCCCCTAACTTTCTTCCAACCCACTACTACACCACAAAACATAGCTCGTCGTGGCAGTCGGTGGTTAGGCTTACGCAACACATGTCCCTACCACCTCAACTGATGAAGATTGAATACTTCATTTATTAATCTGCCACTCCACCTGTAGACCCTCTGGGGCTACTGTCGCTCCTAAGCCAGGATAAAGGAGGAGGGTTAGGTTTAGGGATGGCGAAGAAACGCTAACAAGTTTGGCCATGTGTATGTATTATTACACGTAGAATTATTATTATTCAATGATTATGTGGACGTAAGTGGTTAGTTCCTTTGTCGCATGATTCAGGGTTCTTCAAGTTGAGGATCAATTTTTTTTTAAAAAATTAGTGATCACTAGACAACTAACTGAGAGCAACGGAAAATCCTATATTATTGAGTAAATATGTTTATTTCAATGACTCCATGATTCACTGTCATCTGTAATTCCAGTCTCTTAACCTTGACTCAACTAACTTGAAGATCATGTTTTATAGGTGTTTACTAGTTGAAATATTGCCAGCTTAGAATAAAAATACCTATCTAGTATTCACATGTTTTCAATAGTTCCACTGTAATTGGCATTAGTTTATGATAAACACTGTTGTAGTGAAGGAGAACACAGGTGAGGGCAACCAAATTGTATTTATATCAAATTACAAAGTTAATTGGTAAAATAGGAAAACCATATCGTAAATCTGTAATTTGCGAAATTTCAATCCATCATATCGAACTGAACTGTTCCTGTTGCAAAACATCAATCCATTGTCACTATTCATGCGTTTCATACAAATTCCATTATGTTTCCACTCTTCCTTTCTTGATCTTTCCCCATCTTCTGCTGCCAGACATTACGTTTTCACTCGCGTCATATACTACTTATAAGTAGCGCGCACCACAGTGTCTATGTTGCATACAGTATGTTGTTCTTGTTGTTGACGTTGTCCTTTCCTTTCCTTTCCTTTTTTTAATTTTAATATATAGACTGTGCCAAAGTTGTCAGTTTAAATGGTCAAATTAAATCTAGTCGTTATCGTGCCACAACTTTAGATTTCAATGGAATTACAGTTGAATCTATTGGTAAGTAGAAATCGGTTAATATTGCCATTGCCTTTTTATTTTTTTATCAATACTACTACTTTTGTGTTTTCATCATGGGATTTTGGAGATTGTTGAGATTCTTTATGTTGGGGATGTTAGGTCCCCAAAACTCGCTTGATAAATGCCTTATTTGGCATCTCACGTTTGCGAGCATGGGTTGATCAGTTGACCTTGAGATTTCGTTTCCCACCAGCAAAATCCATGGCTGTGATTGGCTGCTGTGTCATTTTAGTGTGCTGTTTTTGTGACTGTCCCAAGGACGTTTCTATAATGCATAAATAAACGAGAGTTGTGTGCTTGATTGTATTGTGATTACTGGGTGTTTGTAGAATATACTTTCTACGCTTACAAAGCCTTCTATCTTCAGCTTGGGATTCAAGGTAGCCTATCTGGACGCTGGTTTATTGTCTTGTTCGCGTTTATCGACTAAGGTGAACTCGTAATAGCTTCAAGCGTACCAAGTGACGAACATAACACTTTGTAGTCAGAAATCGATTAACCGCTAGAAAGAAATTTGAAAGCACTGGACATCTGTTTCGTCCTATTATGGGACTCATCAGCAGTGCGCGCTCACGAACCCTGCTCGCGTGAAATCCAACCTAGGACCTTCGATCTGCGGTACGAACATCTAACCTGTAGACCACTGAGCTGGCTTGCATCCAGCGGTGTTAATGTATAAATTCAACCAATCCACGGTTTTGTGCAACCTTATGTGTTCATGATCATCACTATTAAACTGAAAGAGACTTTTATTTTTGTTTTACTGACTATTTAAGTACTGTAGAGACTCTTTTTCTACACAAGTATGGATCGTCATTAACAGGTAGTCGGTAAAACTGTATCACACAAATGCGTAACCGTTGTTTACCTCATTACACTATGTTTACTAGTTTAGAAGTAATGGTTAAGATAAATTAGGAGGTTTCGCATCATAATTCCGTGCACAAAGTTTGTATTTCTACGGTTTCTCAGGCATATTATGCAAAGGATGAATTCTAGAAATCAGACATATCCAACAGAATTAAATGTTATCGCGTCTAGCTCCGTTACTTGTTACGCCTGCACGTAAACACGTCAACTTGATATGCTTGAACTATTACGAGTTTACCTAGTCGGAAAACGAGAGCGAGGATCGAGGATCCGGCTACACGACAGGCTAGTCTAATCCAATTGTCCCAAACCTCAATCAAGTAAAAGAGGAATACTTGATATGAAGTAGAACCTGTATTTTACAAGCATCCAGAAAGTTCGAGGTCCGAATCCAGAAGAGAGTCAGGATCTCGGACTAGTGATCCGGGACCTGGTTGTGGTCATAAAACGTTACAGATAATGCGTATTTATACATTTTGTTCGAATAGGAAACAGCATCGAAGTCAGCGACATTGACAGTCAAGACGACCAATAGGAAGCAACATTTGAATTGACATTGATAATCAGGACAACCAATAAGAAACAACATTGGAGTACGTGACATTGATATCTAGGACGACCATAAAATTGACCAGTAGGAATGGACCAATAATTCTCTTAGGATATTGGATAAATATCCTAACCATACTATACACAAATTTTCGCATATTGTTTATTCAATATTAAAAATCATTGAAATTGTAAATCGAAGTCTCTGCGTTTCTAGTTCAGTCATGCCAGAATTAAGAGAGCTATCATCGACGCTGTTCTCTAGTTACTTGTTGCACTCCATTTTTATATGATTTAAAGATAAACACACATTGTACACTTACTTACCCGACTAATGACAAAACTGAACAAATTAATACACTGCATATCTGTACTTACGAAAATAGTCAATACTGTATGGAATAAGACCTTAACTGGGAACATAAATAGCTTCCCCCTATAGGAATGTCTATTCATGATTTATGATTGATTGTTTGTCTGTAAGGTGACACGCATGAATTCAGGTAACTGATTTACCTAAACTTACTCTATCATTGAATCCTATCTGACTGGTCTCAATCGCTGATTGTCCTAATTTACAAGAAAGGACAAAAGTCCTCTTGTGACAGAGAAGGAATCAGCCTAAATGTTGGCCTCAATAATACTCCGACGTTTTAACGAAAGCTCGTGAAGAGTAGACTAGAGAGAACCTGGTTAGTTTTCGACCTGGATGTGGATGTGTAGACCAAATATTCACACTATGTCAGATCCTAGAACAAAGACATACGTTCAGACGTACCACAATAGTAGTAATTCTCGACCTTAAAATGGCATTCGACTCTGTTGATCGTGAGATTCTGTGGCAGTGTCTATTGTTAAAAGGTATACCAAAGATGTACATTGACTTTATACAGGCCGTCTACTCGAACACCACTGGTCGAGTTACAGCTTATGACGAACTGTCATCGGCATTCTTTAATTCAAGTGGTGTCCATCAGGGCTGTCCACTCTCTCCATTCTTGTTTAACTTTGTCGTAGACATTCTTTTAGAGTTAACTTTATCTTCTTCTGATATTCTGAATTCCTTATCATGTCTATCTTTCTAAAGTTATCTCACTGAATTATACTTCTTGAATCATATCCTCGATTCCTAATACTCTCCATTACCGCTAGTTTTTTTACTACCTCCATCACTATTGGATTTGAACTAACAGTTGCGCCTCTATGCTAATGTGGTATGGCAACCTGAACTGATGTACGTACTTGCGGAGTTCTACGTTATAACTGACGACTGACTGATTGAAAATGCAAACCACTTAATTCTAACTTACTAGTTAAACGATATCCGGTTCGCAATAAGATTTCAAGTTTCTGTATCCGATTCTTGGTTATTGAATGATCTGACATCATCAGTTAGATTTATTACCTATCAATCAATTGTTCATTACTTCAGATCAGTTTGTAATCAAAACACTTGTTGTCCGTCTTAACGTAACCCTGTGTGTGTGACATTGGAACTTGTATAAATTAATTACAGTTGACAAGTGAACTGAGTCATGTTGGTAGATGCAGGTTAGCTGGTTGGGTTCCACGAGACAAAAGTAACCGATGGTTAGAGACTTTGAGTGACATGGCTCAAAATCGTTTGCAGTAGTGACGCAGGTGTATCCACTCTTTATGTTCTCTCAAAATCCAAATCTTCTGATTTTGACCTATTTGGTCTCGTTTGCGGGTACGGGTTGGTTGGGACATGTGTTACGTATGCCTAACCACCGACTTCCGTGACGAGCTATGTTTTGTAGTGTAGGAGTAGATTGGAAGAAAGCTAGGGACGACCAAACCAAAACATGGCACAAATTCATGAAGTCACTGACAAGTGAACTGAGTCATGTTGGCAGATGTAGGCTACCTGGTTGGGGTCCGCGAGACGATAGTCACCGATGGTTAAAGACCTTGAACGACATGGCTCAAAACCGTTCGCAATGGCCCAGGTGCATTAATTCTTTGTGTTTTCTCAAATTCTAACCTCCTGAATTCCTCATTATCTCTATCTTTCTGTTTGTAAAGTTATCTCACTGAATTATACTTCTCGAATCATATCTTCGCTCCCTAATCTTCTGCATTACTGCTAATACTTCTATTATTGCTATCACTCTTGGATTTGAACTGACAGTTGCGTCTCTGTGCTGATGTGGTATGGCAACCTGAACTGATGTACTTATGTACGAAGTTCTGCGTTGTATTTGTCTGTCTGTCAAATCTTCTGAATTCTTCATCATCTCTACCTTTGTCTTTCTAAAGTTATCTCACTGAACCATACTTCTTGAATAATCACTTCGATCCTTAATCTCTTCAATTACTCCTAATACTTCTAATATCTCTGGCACTATGGTGGTTGAACTGACATTTGCGTCGCTGTGCTAATGTGTTAAGGCAACCTGAACTGATGTACGTACTTACGTACAAAGTTCTACCTTGTAACTGACTGACTGAATGACTAATTAGCTGTATGATTTTCATTTGATCATTAAAGTTACTATCTGTATATTGTCGTTTATTTTTCTCAACATTCTATTTTCTTTTTTCTTTTATCTATTCACAGTTTGCCTTCGTGATAGTATTCTTGTATTTCATCCACATGGTTTATTAGGAAAAAGTTTTACTGGAGAGGTTAGTCTACTATTAGTACTACTATTACTACTACTACTATCCACTTTTCTTCAACTATCATATATTGACGCATGTCTAAATTTTTATATTTATATGTGTATATATGATAATTAATGTTTGTGTACTTATTTCAAATTATAATTGATGCAGTGATGTACTTTGAATATGAATTCAACTTGTGGAATCATTTAAAAATTCAAGTGTTGCGTAATATAGGAGAGTTTTGGTGCTTTAATTGTTGAACCTACTATGAGTTCTCTTGTATACATTAGACAAGTGATCAGTTTATAGTTAATACAATGTGATTGATTGATTGATGATTTTAGTGTACGGAAAATCGTAAAATGTGCTCACTAGCGATTACTAGCTTTGTAAGGAAATTCTCGGAGTTGTTCTAGTGAGAAGACGTGACCGGTGGAGTTCGACCCTGTCGGCGGGTGTAGGCAATGACTACCAAAGACAAATCTGTAGATTGATCAGAGTTAGAGATTAACACCGTTGAATGCCGGTCCAGTGGTTCAGAAGTTAGGCGATCGCGTACAAGACCGAAGGTCCTGGGTTCGAATCCTGAGAGAGGTGCAGGAGTCGTGCATGCGCGCACTGCCACTGATGAGTCAGTCCTATACATCAGGACGAAACCGTCCGTCTTTCAGCGCTTCCACGTCTTTAATGGTGTGGTCTAATAATGATTGATTAATGATTTCAGTGTACAGTAAAAATAATAGTACATAATAGCCAGTAAAGAGTTCCATCATATCCGATCGGTAGAACCGAAACTTGGATCGATCACAACAATTCAAGAAAAAATGTCTAAATAGCATAAAATGTAAGACTTATTTATCAGTTTGTTATGCTCGTCAATTTGTACGCTTAAAACTATAACAAGTTCAAGTTCAAGTATGTACAAGTTCACCTTAGTAGTCGGTAAACGAGAGCGAAGACAAATGATCCAGTGACACGCGATAGGCTGCCCTAATCCGAGCGTCTCAAGCCCCCCACTAAGTAGAAGAAGAAATCTTGATAAGGCGTAGAAAGTGTATTCTACAAGCACCCAGAAAATATGAGGTTCACAAGCACACACACACAATGGAGTTTATTTATACATCATCATATAAACGTCCATGGGAGAGCCACGAAAATCGCGATTTAAAATAATATACATCAATTAACAATAACAGCCATGGATTTTCCAGGTGGGAAATATAAGCTGAAGGTCAACTGATCATCAGTCCATGCGCGGAAACATGTAGAAATTCAAAATTACGACCTTAATCAAGTGAGGTTCCGGCGGATCTAACATCCCCAACACAGTTACAGTATACATGTAAAAAGTAATAATAATTCCCGAATTCATTATTTAAAAAAAAACAGTCTCCCCTAATTCTATGATAGAAAATCGTAAAAACTAACTATCCACACTACTCTTATATTCATCGGTTACGATTAAGGTAGTCTAGTTTGTTTTTCCCATTCGAAATTCAATCAGTGTTAGGATATTTAGCAACTGTCAAGTTCACATTACTTTCAAATGTTGTTTCCTATTGGTTAGTATTTACGGTCATCCTAACTGTATAAAAAACCCCGGTTCTGGGTGCTTGTAGAATAAATACACTTTCTACTCCATATCAAGACTTCTTTTACTTAGTTGGGCCTTGTGACTCTTAGCTTAGAGTAGCTTATCGTGTCACTGGATCATTTGTCTTTGCTCTCGTTTACCGACTACTAAGGTGAATTCATAATAGCATTCAAGCATAACATTCAGCTATGGTGCACTCATGGAAAATGTTAGTGTATGTGTGTGTGTGTATGAATGAATGAATGGATTTATAGAAGTCTTGCCAGAAAGAATGAGGTTATCGTGGTTTTTTCCTACACTGATTATGTAATATATATATATATATATATATATATATTTACTTACTTACTTACGCCTGTTACCCCCAATGGAGCATAGGCCGCCCACCAGTTTTCTCCAACCAACTCTGTCCTGGGCTTCTCTCTCCAGTTCTGTCCAATGTTTGTTCATTCCTCTCATATCTTTCTCTATTTCTCGGCGTAATGTATTCTTTGGCCTACT